CACCCCATTCAAGTGAATGGAGCAAGCTTCAACGCACGCCGCTGTGTGGACGGGCCGTTATTGTTTTTACTTCGGCTGTGACTTTGTGTGTGCTCAGGATGAGTTTGGCTGTGTTTCGCTGTGTATCCTAAACAAGGAAACAACACCTCCACGGAGCTCAGCGCGATTCACAACGTCCCGACCAATCAGAGCACACTGTGCTCACAAGGAGGGTGGGGGCTGGAGCTTTTGGAGCCGTTAAAGGCAGAGAGTGAAATTCAGTGAATACACGTAGTTTACAGAGATGCTGTATGAGAAACCAATGTGAGTTTGGAAAAATGCACAATATAAATCTATTTTAGTAGACCTCAACAATGGAATTATGATCAGTGGAAATGGCCATGACACCTCTCCTTTAAGTTGAACCCAATATTTTATTTAAACTTAAAATGATGTGTCATTTGTTGACATAATACATTTAATTTTAGTCAATGCTTACATGTATGCCTACTCTGTTAGGCAGTGTTTGCTCAGCATCATGGGTAATGCAGAGCTGGCTTGCAGTGGCTGTGGTCGGAAAGAAGGCCAATGCCAGGCTCATTACCAACCAGTGCCAGCCAAGGCTTTGGCACTTTTCAAGACCCTCAGGGTGGCAAGCATTCCATCACGTCTTGCTTATTTTTCTATTTGTTTAACTGAGAGGGTGAGGATTAATGACAGTGACTTTGCCGCTGACCTTGTGACGCTAACCCATAGCTATGCAGCTTTTCATCACATCAGAAGAGGACTAGTAAACCACACTGTTCTTCTCCATGGTTCAGGAACATGCATGTACAGTTAAAGGGCTAATTTGACTTGGTGAAGTTTATGAGGAGAGAGGCAGACAAGACTCAGAGTCTACAGCCATGCCATCGGCTCTGTGAGCTCAGGCACAGCTGTGTTTTGAACTAAATACTAGGCATACTGCTGCATGCTTATTTAGCAAGTATCATGTAGTACAACTGAGATGTCAAATGTTTTGAAGATATTTGTTCATTAACCACCCTATTTGACAAATTTAAATGCTGACCTTATGACGGCACTAGATGAAACATTAAGAGACATTCACATCTGGAACAAAAACACAGGGCAATCCATTGTGCTACAGAAAAAGTCAAGGGGTGATTCCAAAGTGATCAAACTTCATCCTCTGGGAACAATGAATGTCTGCACAAAATGTGGCTGGCCCACCTGATACATGTTGAGACATTTCAGAGGATAAGTAAAAGCCTTGATCGGCAGGTAGTGCTCCAGGAAAGTTCAAGGGATTACCAAAGTCAGTGGGATTCATACTCGGGGGATGTCTGTAGAAACTTTCATGGCAATCTATGAAACAGAGATGTTCAGTCTGGATCAAAATGACATTGCTATCCCATGAGCCATGCCGCATTCTAGTCTAAAACACTTTTCTGCACTTACAGAAGGACATCAGTATGAATGTCACTTCCTAGCTTTTTCACAAGTGCTATGGTAACAACCACACGGACAACAAGGGTGAGGCGGCACAGAGGTGTTTGTCAAACAGCGGGACAGTCTGCATTAGAGGCACTGTCTTTACAGAGGACTGACACACCGAATATAAACCAGCTGCACTTCCCAGCAGGACAACTAACCCCATGAATCAATAGCCTCTCTCCGACATCATATAAAACACGGACAGCCATCAGCTAGGGGACACTTAATCTCCACGCTTGCAGTTTTTCAAGAGCGCTTGCAGCTCTAAGCTCCTGCTTGTCTCTGACCTCAGCTGTACGCGTGGACGTTTATATCATTTCCAAAACATGTGTTGGCAGATCTTCTTCTGATAGAGGAATGCATTTTTAATGAAGCCGTTTCATCTATGCGTGGCTGCTCGCGCATGTCGTTCAGTGGTGGACTCGCATCATCTCGGCTCGGGTGTTGAGAGCCATGTCTCAGCACTTAAATCTCAGAGGATTGATAGGAGGAAAATATGTAAAATATCAAGAGATGAGTGGAAATTCTCTTTAATCAGCAGCAGTATCTCATCGATACATTCCTTTGCTGCACTTCGTTGCCAAACCGTTTTCATCGCTGTGATTTGCATTTCTCACAGCTGTTTTCTGCGTAAACCTCAACAATGCTGACTGCAGAGCCACACTGTCACCAGTTATAAAAGGGACTTAGTTAAGACTCACACTAGGAAACTTCAGAAGGCACGATCGAGGTTGAAATCCACCCCAAAAATGCAGTCAAAGTCATTTTAGTGAAAGGAGCAAGAGAACTCGTCTTTCGGTCCAAAACACTGATGTTTGCCAGGGTTTTGGACTGAGGCCTGAAGGATATTTTGCATGTAACATGAAGTCAGAATACAGTAAAGGGTAAACTTCCTGAGGAGAGTTTAGTCCAGGCCGGCTGCTGGAAAGATGCTCTCCTGTCCTTCAACAACCCTGATTAAGATTGGCCCTTTAAATCGGCCCAATCAATGCAGATGATGAATACCTGCAGCCAATCCAGTTGGCAGTTAATCAGTGGCGTCCAATCAGGTAATGAGGACCTGCATGTTGGAATGGGAAGCAGACAACCCCATGGCTGTTTAGCAGAAAGAAGGGAGAGCGGTCATGATCTAAAGATACTTGCGTGCCACATTTGGGGCTTCTGCCCTGTGAAGATCACGGTCTGTGGACAATTACCTTTGATCATTGAAGCTGACGGATCTCCTCAAAGGCAGGGTGTCTGACTCAGAGATGGGAAATGAGGCACTGTATTTTCAATCATGTGAATTCTTTAGTTGAGAAGAACCACCAATACATTGGCTTCCACCAGCAACTTGGCAACCCCAAACCCCAAAACCAAGCTCCAGTCAGGTCTGGAGATGTTTATGGAATACACTGGAAATTTGTCAGAAAAACATGTTTTTGCTGGGAATTAATATCATAAGATACATGAACTAGAATGCACAGTATAGTTGTTGAGCGGTCTCCCGCAGGTTCTCTGGATGTGGAAAGGCGCTCCAACATGCATATTGCTCTTAGTGAGCGCCAGAGGATGACTTCTGATTTGTGGTCACTCTTTAGCAAGCATTCCTGGGGGAAATTTGAGAGACCATTATGCAAATCCACAGGTGCATGCCAAGACCAAATAACTGGAGTCCTGCCTTCCAAGTACTTCAAGATGCCTTTCATAGTGCTCCTGATAAGTGTTCAGAACACAACGTGAGGAGGCGCGCCAGGAACACGTGGGTGTAGCGTGGAGGGCCAGCATGTCCGAGCAAAGTAATTAAAAAAAGTCCAGTATCAGACGCTGTATGACTCAGGAAGCAAACATTCATTCAGTGCTAGAGTCTTTCCATCTTGTGCTGATACGGCTCTCAGTTATGCCATCTTCATATGGTAAAAGGAAAAGGGAGCCTTTGTTGTCCAGTTTGGTGTGATCACATTTCATACACAGAAAAGCTCTCAAAAGACTGATTCCATTAAGCTTGTGGACGTGGAACCAGGAGGTTTGAATGAACTTTGTTTATTTTTGGGGTTTGTGAGGTATGTATTGTATGTGTGTGGGGAAATGAGAAATGTCTGTAATGGAGGGGATACTCTGAAAGTGTGGAGGGTCAGCTGAAGACAGGAAAGCACCTCATCATTCACTGCTGCTCAGCTGTCCCGTAGGAAGACAGCAGAGGAAGCATGCATCCTCCAATCATGGATGATCATGTCACATGTAGAACCAGTGCCCCCTTGTGTCTGAAACATGCATGGCCCAGGGACTTATATATATCAGTGTAGCCGATGTCTTTACATGCATTTATATGTTTATAAAGTCCTCCTATAATCAAAGCTGTTGTCTTCTGTATTAGGAAAATGGTTCTACCAGTGAGGAGGAGTTGCAAGTCATACATATTATTTCTGTTCTTAAAGGTCCCCTATTATACTGTTTTTCATCAATATATTATAGGTCTCAGATATATACAAAACATGTCTCTGAAGTGTTTGGCTCGAAATACCAAACAGATCGTGCATTGTAGCATCCCATAATCCCCTCTGTTTCAGCCCTGTTTCAAAAGTGCTGATTCTCTGGGTGTTTCTCAATCGCGAGTACGCTTGCTTGGTAGCACATGTCTGCCGAGCATCTTGCTTCAGAAGCGAGTCAAGAATACTTCCTGGCATTCGGAAAACGAAGTGTGGAACACGCTAGCAAGTGTGCAGGTGTGCGTCATATGAGAGGCCCCGCCTTACATCTTCCGCCACAGATTTGGGGAAATTGGTCCGTGCGCAAAGCATTGTGGGGATTTTAAGACCGCGAAGTCTACTCATGTGCAGACTCGATATTTCTCCAAACGGAGTACGCCGGGCTCGGTAGATTTCCAAGTATACTGGAGATTGGAACAGTACTTCGGCGGCACTCGATGACGTAGTATGCTTGAAATAGTGGCTCTGAAGCAGCTTTACTCGCGATTGAGAAACACCCTATGTCTGTTACTTTAGATGAAAATAAGGAGCCACTCCCCACGCCCCTCTGAGAGATATTTGATTAAAAGAAAACACAATGGTGCTCTAGGAGGAGATTCAGGTGATATGGTGGTGGGGGGGGGGGTTACCTTGGTTGGTGATTGGCTAATGGTTACACAAGCCAAAAAACGTTATGACATCATAAAGTGGCCAAAATCTGATCAGCTCATTTTCAGACAGGTTTTTATATAAATGGATCAGGACAAAAAGTGAGACAATCTTTTTTTCCTGAAACTTTCAGAATCTCTTTACGCAGAGGGGACACATGTTTATGTGTAAAAGACATAAAAAAGTGGATTTTGCATAATAGGTGATCTTTAAGCATGAATAAATGCAAAAACACTATAAACCTATCTTTCATTATGTTTCAGAAAACCTTTGCACTTTTCAGGAACCATTGGTCGGCATGCACAGCACCATAAGCCATCTCCAAATCCAGGTTTGAAAATGTTAAAAGGGTCTGTAATCACAATGCTTAGCACAATCCACATGAGATGCACAAAAAGGGTGATACAGGGATAAGAATTTAGTCCATCATTTTTTATTCCCATAAACAAAAGGACCTGCAGTGCAGAGAATCTCAAACATTCGTCAGCAATGACTTGCCATTTAAAAAAAGGAAAGAAAAGAAGTATCCCAGCTTCAAAGTCATAGGCAAATATTTCACAATATCTACATCGCTAAGTCACACTCATGTGGGCCATGTAGCCCAGAAACAATCCAAACATAGCTAAATAAAACAGAGAAGTAGATGCTCATGAAAAGCAAAACATTAAACAAGAACATACAACTACAGCATAGACCTCCTTCATGATTACTTATAACGGTCATTTCTAATGGAACAACTAACACATGTAATGCTTAAACTACTTGGACTTCTGGTAAATATGATATCAGCCATTGTTATGTGTGCTGAAAATATTTTCATAAGCATTCATATTTTCTTAGTACTTCTGGTCAACATTGCACAACCCAAACAAACACAAATCCATCAACCCACTTGTAAACCTCTTAACACTGTAAAAGGCTAGCTAAAGCACAAGCAAACGCTCATTAAATCCCAAGTGGACACTGTGTTGGTTCTGGTGAGCCAACACAATACAAACCTGCTGCTGACTTCAAAATGTGACATCTTTGCCGTTCGAAAATAAGGAAATCTCAAACATACTGTGAGAATAATGTGAAACTGGACCCAGAGTGCTCTGTGGGTGAAATTGAAAAACTATTGTGAAGGATAATCCTTTTTTTTTTACTTTGCAGTCCAAACATGAATTTTCCTAAAAGATCTACTAACACTGAGTGGCAGCACACACTAGTACAAAATGGCTATTGAACGTGTAAAGTCTAGAACTTGCTACACAATATGAAGAGGAAGAAAGGAGAAAACTGTTGGCTCAGGATTTTTGACAATCGTCGCATTCAAAATAAATAATTGTACAATAACAAAGAACAGGGCATATTCTCCTCTGATATAACGCTTCAGTTTACTGAGGATGTGGGATAATATGCCTTAAAGGTACAGGACGGGAAGGAGGCAGCTATGAACAAACTGTATGTACTGTTTACCACAAGTGTGCACATATACAGCTGAGTCAGAGGATGAACAGGTGGCATAGAAGATTCTGAGGTAAATCCATAAAAAGGCTGTGAAGGAAAAAGTAAAAGTATACATATATAACAAAGTGTTTGTTATATATGGGCTCTCCCCAACGTACACAGTGACCCCTGCATGTAGTAGTAGAAATGCCATGATATACCTTTCACTTACTATTGTCCACTATGCTTCTCTCACCTACGCACCTCTCTGAATACAATCAGAGGCAAAGGGCATGAATAAGGCAGGTTATAAAACATAAGACAAACATTTACCACTCCAGGCAAACATATTTGAAACAATGGGTCAACCCGAATATTATTTTAAAGACACAATAAGTTAAAAACATGTATAAACAATAGAAATTACTTGGCTTCTTTTAAAACCCATTCTTTCTCAGATGAAAAAAGAAATTAAATAAACTCTCAACCCATCAAACGTGCACCAATAAAGTGATTCCCTTCTCCTTGAACTTTAAACCAAAGAGGTCACGAGATGAAAACCTATGTATACACACTACTATGTACAAGTATTGGAATAAAAGAGTGATATTATATATTTACAAACACACATCAGTCCCTGATCGATTAAGGCCAAAGTGCTGTAGGTGCGCGCGGCACCCACATCACATGTAGCCCGCTGTTGCACTTAAGTGTTCCTCAGTTTGAAAAATGCAAAAGAAGCATTTATGACGTAATACTCAAGGCTTTTGCACTATAATTATTTGTCTTTCAAACATATAAAACTAAGCAAACTTTAGCCAAAACCTGACCTTTTCCAGCAGATCCTGGTTTCCTTTTTTACAAAAGCAAGATATTTTATATACATAAAAGTAGTACTTGAGTTCAAATGACTGAGTTCCAGTTTCGGGAAAGCCTTCTGTGACTTCCTGTAATGCCCTCTCCTCCTGAGAGAGTACTGATAGGGAGTCTGGGTGATGCTCTGCCAAGATGCCCACTGTTAATGCAAATGAAATCAGGAAACCGTTGCACTGAAGTGTGCATGGTGGTGTCCTCTGGATGGAGAGTCAGAGCATGCCGAAGCCCTCGCTGCCCTCACTGATGGCCAGCTTCAACAACTTGTGCAGTTCCTCATAAGAGTCGTACGTCGGGAGGCACAGCTGGTTAAAACTGGACAGAAAATTGGACCACAGGGAATCAGCGAATGTTTAGTTCCTGATGAAGCATTTACAAAACATTTATAAGTCACGCTCATTCTCACGTGTAGTCGGAACATTTTGAGCTCTAAACATTAAAGATGTGTTGATATTGTATTTTTTCCTGATTAACAAATCCAATGAAAAGCGGAAACGAACATGAGTTTATTTTAAATATTTCCTAGCCTGATGAAGCTTGTTCCTCCGTGCTATTGTTATTAAAGAACTATTAAAATCCCATCAATGAGCCCTGGGAGTCATGTTTCGTCATTAACATAAGCACAGAAAATATGGTTTATTTTGAGTCTATCCAACATACCCCATGGTGCTGATTCAGATACTCACGAGAGAATGTGTCATAATCCACCTGCTAAAATTAGCCCTGGAAAAAATCACTAGTTGCGTGTTTTTGAGTGATGTTTGAGGAAACAGTCCCCAGTTCTTTTGAAAATGTATTAGCCTTTTTTATTAATAGAAAAGTGTGAACAATGATTCTTTGAGCTAAATGCTAACGTCAGCTTGCTTACATGTCCATAATGACAATGTAAACTTGACAATGTTAATCAGATATAATGATCACAGTCATATTAAACCGTATAAGTATTAATGAGTGCTAATTAGCACTTAACGCAAAGAACTGCTGAAGGTGATAACACGTTTTTACACTGTTGGATAATAACCAAAGAATTGAAAAAGAAAATACCTTTTTAAAGAGTATTTAGATATGATGCCTTTAATAGACTACAACAGTGGAGAAACAAAAGTGGGCTAGAGAGCTGCAATAAAGATCTCTGGGAGGACTTAAAGTGGACCTATCATGCTAGATTTGAAACATATATTTTAGGGCCATACCTATACAAAACATGTCTGTGAAGTTTTTTTTTCAAAATACCAAACAGTTCACCCATTGTAGCCATGCCTCATACTGCTCATACCCCTCTTTTGAAGCCCTGTTAGAGAAACGCGGATCTTGGGTCCTTAGCTTGAAAAAAAAGAAAAGAAGAGGAGGCGGAGCTAATGCCTGATCAGAATTCTACCGGAGATAAAGTTAAATTCGGTTGTGATAAAACGCCATCCTGTTCTTAACCACATCAAGGATTATTTCTGAAATAGTATGGAGCTCAAATGCTTTTTCTCTTGCGGGTTTATCACAAAGTGAGTTCCTTTTTTTATTTCCTGCTTTTTAAAACACATGTGCTCTACAGTACAGGTTAGCTCTGAGTGTTAGCGAGGCTTGCTAATGTAAACAAAGACGAGATTACGTCCAAAACACGTCAGGCATTGTTTCTGATAGCAACTTTCTGTGGGTCCGCCGCCGATTTGGCGTCAGTTCGGATGGAATCTGTATCTGCTCGTTGTACACATGTTTTTAAAAGATTTGGGTACGGAAGAAAAGAGAGAGGGTTTTATTTTCTGACGCTGCATGAGTTCCCCGACGCACTGGGGACACATATGTATGTATAAAAGACATCACAAAGTGCATTTTGCATGATAGATCACATTTTGACTTGAGGATGGCACTGGAAAAACTCAGGGGTTCCCAAAAGTCTTTATAATAGCCGCATTCACACCAAGTACTTTGCCGTACTTAGTGCCGGCACTTATTACCCCAGGGCACATCAGATCGCGTTCACACCGGAATAAGTTCCCTGAGGGAAGATTACGCAAATGAGCCGCTGACGTCACTTCGTCTTCTTCTGCTTTGGGTTTACTGGCAGGCCGCAAAAGGGGTACTAACGGAACTAAGCGAGAAAAGTACGGGGAAAAGTACTCCGGTGTGAACGCGGCTAATAAATCTTCTGGGAACAACAAATGTCTGAATTATTTTTCTTGCCAATCCATCTAGTAAATTTGAAGATATTAAAAGTAGAAAAACAGAAAACATTGACCTGTTGGTTTGGCTGAATGAAGAGTATGATTCATCCTCTGAGGACCATGAATGTCAGATATATTGTTTTGAAAGTTTGTTCAAATGAATGTTGAGACCAAACTATTAAAGCAAGCAATCGATTGACAGACTGACATCACTAAAGCATCAAGGGCTCAAACCTTCATGTAATTCGTACTCACCACGTGTGTGCAGTGGGCAAGGTGCTGTGTGTGGGGGCAGCAATGATCTGGAAAGAGGGGCAGAGGGTGTTGAATCCCCCGGGGGGGAGCTGAGAGGAGCCGGTGGTGAACTGCAGCAGACGGGCCAACTCCTCCTGGGTGAAGCTGGACACCACGGCCCAGAACCACTTCATCACCTGTGGCAAGAAAAGAAAAATCAGTGGCCTGCTGTGGTAAGAAAATGGATAAAAGAGATTTCCAACGACATACTTTCTCTCTGAAGTGCCACGACCCTCCGACAATCACAGCGTGGGCCTTGAAGTCCAGCACGTTTATGTCTCCGGTGCCACACATCAAAAGCTGAAGAGATTAAAAGAAAAAATAATTATAATTACCCTGCAGTATCAGTTTCTTTAAAAACTTGATTTGTTATTATAAACATCATGCATACCTCCAACTCATTCTCATCAAATATGGCTAGCAGATTTTCTGGAACCAGTTCATTCAGACCTGCAACAGATCAGGAAATTACACTAACTACGTGCACATTACCGGAGGAATTAAATGACAGGTGTGGGCTAAAAAAGAAAGAAGGAAAACTGCAGCTGTGCTTGTTTCCTCACCTTTCAGGAAGTGTTCCACCTCATCTCTCACCTGGCTGGCGAGTCTGTACTGGGCCAGCAGGTTTAGATAATGCACCTTGTTTTCATTGTTCACAGCAATCTGGGATCCCCCGGATATCAGCTCCACCACCTGTAAGAGAGCACACATGTCATAATACATAAAAGAGTGAAAGCGCCTAAGATATTAAACAGTTTAAAAATCTGTCAATGTGTGGGCAGTAAACAATAGAGGGTGGAAAAACCTTTGTTACGGTAAATCTATTTATACAGTTCAACACTTGTGAGAGGCTGTCACACATTTGTCATCGTTAGTATAATAGGGCAATTAATCTAAAAAGGTAAAACAAACACAATGGTTAGGAGCCATACATACGTATCTGATTAAAAAGAAGTAGGGGGAGTCCCACAGCCGGCTATTGTGTGGTATTTTACAACTATGCTACAAAGTTTAAAATACAATGCCAAAATCCACTCATCCACCTTTCTGTAAACTCAGCGCTCAGCCTCAACAAGACAAACGCTTGCCAGACGAGCAATATGGTTTCTTTTGTTTGTTTTTGTGCTCCTCTGTCCTGTGAAATGACATGAGGGATAAAAGGGGGGAGTTCCCTTCCAGCGCGTCGCCTCACCTTCTCCAGCTGTCCCGACTTGCTGTACTTCTCCTCGGCAAACACCAAGTCCATGTCGCTCACGTCATTGTTTAGGATGAAGCAGACCTTGGTTTTGAAGAACTCCTGGTCATCCGTCTCGAAGTACTGCGTTTGGAAAATAAAAGGAAAACACAAGGTAATGACGTTTTTAAATAAACATGGTTTTTCATCTTCCTCGTGGAAGGATAAAAACATGATTGGGCTTTACTTCTCCGCTTACAGATTTTAGGAAGTTGGATAAACAGCAAAACATATTGGCTTGCTCTCTGAAATAAAACACGCCAAAAAATAATTTAGGTTTCTTGGCTTTGTGGGAATGTGAGAGTGATGAGACAGACCGGCTGACATCGAGAAGTAAACAATGAAAACATGACCTTCCAACTTCCGAGGAAAGGCTTTTTCCTTGAAATGCACTGAGTTCCTTACCTTGTAGTTCATCCTGAGGCCGATGATCTGGGCCAGGAAGGAGCGTGTAAAGCGAGCCCGGACCAGCTGTTTGTAGGCCCCCCCCAGAGCGGACTCATACAGGCACTTCCCCACGACACGACCAGCGAACTCATACATCTTCAGACGCTGGTGGGCCTGCCGCTCAGCGTTAGGGTGCACCTGGAGAATAAGAGGAATCTGGGTTTCTGTCTTTTGAACTTTTTTATAATGTTCTTTTTACAGGATGAGTAGGGGTATGATTACATTACATTCAAGATTTCAACATGACACCAACAAATACTTAAATGAGATAATACCAATTAATGGAATACATTTAAAAAAAGGATATATTTCTTGATTAGTTTCCCTTCCCTAATTTGACACATCACAAGACACTTTTCCAGATTCAGGTTTCAGTTAAACATAGCACATTTCATTTGTTGCCGACCCTGTTCTCTATGCTAGCATCCCTGAGCAGAGAACATGTTTAAAGGCATGGTTAGCAGCTTTCAAGAGGGAAATAGATATAAATCTGATGACTCCCTTTTTGCTATCTATGCTTGTTTTGTTCTGCGACGTGTATTGGCCACATTTCTTGAACGAAATATAGTAAAATGTTGCTATAGTAACCTGGTAGCAGACTTGTAACTGAGTGCGGAAAAACAAACAAAATTCCTTTCTCTTTGAGTGTGTGTTTGTGTGAGTGAGTGAGTGTTTGGTAACTATGGACTTAAAACTACAAATAATAGAATAGTAGACAATCTCCTTCCTATGGATGCTTTTAGGTATATTAGTATAGACAGATATTATTTCTTAAGCAGTACTTAGGCCTAGGCTCCACGGGGACGAAAACTGGTTGAATCCGCATATTTCTCATGCGTATAGCCCTTTAAGCTCGACGACGCCGTAACGGAAACGTAGAAACAGACCCCGCAAACGACAACGGGTCCAAAGGTGGATGGATCTGGGAACGGAGCGCTCTGGGGGGTCCAACGGGGCCGTGTGGTCGCCTATACGGTCATCCGTTTCATAGCCCCGCCTCTCCCCACCTCTCCGCGTACCCCGCATCATTGCTGATGTGTTTCGTTAACAACAACAATGGCGGATCGCAGGGTTGCTATCGTGCTCCAGTCGCTACTGACCATGCTACAGTTCTTTGTGCAACATCTACAGGAGCTCCTCCTTGAATTCAGATTATTTATCTTTATCTCGATATGGACATAAACGCGAGTGAAGTCTAATCTGACAGGACGGAGACACGCAGCTCCTGCCGCTGTGATGCAGCGGGAGCAAAACACACACTTCAAGTCAGATCATCACCCTTAGCTATTTTAATTACCTCTCAAACTACCTAAACTAGTTATAAATATGTTTATTTTTACTGTCGGGTCATCATTACTGGATCAGCTGCTGCATGAGACAGACACTGACGCTGTGAGAAGAGAGGAAAAAGAGACAGGCTCTGTGTATTTTATTATCATATATCATTATATCGTCGTTATTCATTTGTTTTAAAGCTCAATAAATAACAATGAAGACCTTTGACCGGCACTTTTATAATTTTGTCCGGAAGATTTAAACTTTAACACACGTTGACCGGCGAAAAACTCTGCCCGGTTCCGTCGGCCCCCACCGTGGAGAATAAACAGAAGTGCAGCCATGACAACCATTCTTCTTCGCTGCTTTTGTGGAGGAAGTTGCTGCTTTTGTGGAGGAAGTTACAGCGCCACGTACAGGTTCGGCATATGTACTGCAGCTTTTCCAGCGGTTGGATGTAAACGGAGCCGTCTCGTGGAGCTTGACACAATCCGGTGTATATTGCGTGTGGGCGGAAGCTTTTTTGCGGTTGCGTTTGCGTTACTCCGATGCGTTTTGCCGTATGTGTTCCCGTGGAGCCGGGGCTTTAGTGTAGAAGCCTCAGGTGTTTTGAAAGGGGACGGGGGTAATAAGACTAACTTACCAGGCCCTGGTTGTTGTCACTGAAGCGAGTGAACAGCTGGTTGGAGGTGTCAAAGAGGGTCTTACACACCAGCTCAAACCACTCCCTGCGAGGGCCTCCCCAGTCCAGAGCTGCAGAGAAGTGTCAAAGGTTTTAGCAGTGTGTTCATCTAACAAAGTTACTATGTCTGTAACTGTCATTTTGATGCCATTTCCGGTGTTATTTTAAGATCTTTTTGGTTTGAAGTGCTTGCAGCTAAATGTTTACCTTCCTCATCCTGGAACGCGACCTCAAAGTTCTTACTCCAGTCGGACACAGAGAAGTTCCTGGTAGCCTTCAGGGACTGAGCAACAGCAAGAGAAAAGACAAATAAGAATAGAAACAATCACATGATAACAAGCCCATTTTTATATTGACGAGCAGCACTCACCGAGTCTAGAATAGTGTGCCGAGTGATTTTGAGGCAGGTCTTGGTGCGAGGTCTCTTTGCGTGGATTTGCCTGAGTTCACGTTGAAAGAAGTTCACCTTGTCTTGGAACGTTTCAGATCCACCTGTGGACAACACCATCAGATTATAGCTACAGTCTCTAAAAAGACGGTATTTACTAAGTACTTCTCAACGCGAATGCATCACATTAGACTGAAACAAACCGATGTTCTTGTGCAGGAAGCGAATGAAGGTGGCAGCCATGATGTTCCTGTCTTTGCAGCTGAGCTCCACAGGAGGCTGTATCCCATCATCCACCACAAGAGTTAGATACTTGTGAATGGGGTCAGGACCAAAATAGGTAAACTGAAGCAAGAACAGAATATTATGGTTAGCGTGGTAAATTAAATCAAACCAAAGTGTCCCAGGGTTTTCCGACTCACTACTGCTTACCTTCGTTCCTGGACATACTCGGAAGGTGAAAAGGCGCCATGGAATAATTTTCAGGTAGAACTCTTTCACGGATAATTGCTGTTTGACAAAGAAGTCATTGTACATTAACACATGTTGAGTTCTATCCTCTCATATACAAGACATCAGTCACACAGCCAAAAGGTTAAGAGGAAAAACAACCAATACATGACACGCTTACCTTTGGCGATATGTAGCAGTAGACCTTTTTTGGTTTCTTGACCTTCTCAGGTTGTCCCTCCACAGGAGAGTCATGCTCATCCTCCTCTTCTCCCATGGAGGGCCTCCTCTGGGGGGCCAGCAGAGAGGAGGCGGGCAACTGCCATGAGGAACTGTAGTTCCCAGTGCTGTAAAGGTACGCTTCAAAGTAGATGCTAATGCCTGGAGTGGACACATTCTTCTCCACACAGGCCTTCTCATTCTCTGTAATATGCAAAGAGAGTATGAGTATGATGCATTGGAAACACAGACTAGAAAGCACTGTGTTTTTTCTATAGTAGTGTATGATTCCTTAAGCATGTAAAGGTTGCTCACCACTGAGAACAATAATATCAAACTCCCCGTTGCTGAGCGGCTGGTCTGTGTAGGAGATGCGGGCCCTGAAGCAGCCCGTCTTCCTCAGGGTGAGTTTCAGCAGAACCTGGCACTGCTGCTTGTTGAGGGTCACTGACTTACTGTAGTACTCCTCCAGACTGTCGTCATCCCCCGTGCCCAGCTGCAAGAAACAAGGAAACTCAAATGAATCCCAGCTCAGAGACTTGTTCTGCTGCGCTGTAAAGCTAGTGGACTGTGCAATTGGGAACAGAAGGCTGAACAATCCTGGCTTTCATTTTTACAGTCCAAATCAATGAGTAAATCAAGTAGAAAGGGGGTGTGTTCCCTTACAGAGTGCACGTGGACGCTGTAGTTGGCTTCATCAGTGAGAGATGCAGAGTTACTGGTAGGGTTTCCATACTCGTCCCTCGGCTCAATTTGCAAAGTGTGCTGCTGGCCATTAGTTAGCACCAGGGTGGAGAAATGGTAGGCTATCTTGGTTTTTGATGGGACAACTGTACCTGATTTGAACAAAAGAATAGAAATCAACTTAATAAACAATAAATACTAGTCAAATCAATAACCAAACACAGACAAATACGGTTTAGCAGAAATACCTGGTTGAAAAATCTTGTAATAAGGGCTGTAGGCCACGTTGAGGCCACCCAGCTTGACAGCAACCTCGTAGCGCCCGGCTTTGCGCACAGTGAAGGCAACTTTGACTACGTTGGACTCTGGTTCCTGCACAACTTCCTGTGTCACAGGGATGTCCAGAGCCAATTCGATGTGGTTGATGTTGACCCTCAGCCCCACAGGCCGGTGGGCGGGAAAAGGCTGGCCATTCTTATAGAAAAGCTGAGAAGACAAAAAGATGAATAACTGCAGACCAAATATTCTCTGACACTGCTGCATGCGTGAGCCACTTAAAGTCAACAAGACTAGACATTAAAGGTGTCCTATCATGCAAAATGCACTTTTTGATGTCTTTTATACATAAATGTGTGTCCCCGGTGATCAGGGAACCCACAAAGTGTCTGAAAACAAAACACTCTCTTTTCCTCCGTACCCAGATCTCTAAAGAAAGGGGGTACAACGGAGCTGATCCAGATTTGCATCCGATATGACGTAATATCGGAAATGTGAACTGGCTTTACGCCCACGGCCCTATCAGAAACTTCGCAATCAGAAAACAATGCCCGACCTGTTTTGGACGTAATATGGTCTTTTTTACATTAGCAAGCATCGCTAACACTCAGAGCTAACCTGTACTGGACAGAGTATGTATAAAAAAGCAGGAAATAAAGAAAGGAACTCACATTGTAGTAAACCCGCAAGAGAAAAAGAATTTGAGCTCCATAATATTTCAGAAATAATCCTTGATGTGGTTTTGAACATGATATGGCATTTAATGACGGCCGCATTTAGCTGAGAATCTCTTGGTAGAATTTTGAGCAGGCATTAGCTCCCATCCCCTCTAACCCTAACCCTAACCCTTTTTTTAAAGCTAAGGACCCAGAATCAGCACTTTAGTAATAGGGCTGAAATAGAGGGGTATGAGGCATGGCTGGAATGGGTGATCTATTTGGTATTTTGAGGAAAACACATCATAGAAATGTTCTTTATATTTTTTCATATATCTGAAACCCATAATAAATGCCTAAAAATAGCATGATAGGAAACCTTTAAAAGACTGTTAGGAATAAATCATCACCTGGACTCTAAAGCTCATAGTCTGGCCCACTTCCTGTGGTTCCTTCCAATCCCAAGACACCTTGCAGGAACGGGGGTCCAGGTAGTTGCCCCGGACATAGTCGTAGATGCTGCGGTCGCCGCGTCGCCCTGGATCCTCATTCTGCAGGAAACTGACAACCCTCGCTGCAAGCTCGCAGAGGAACTTAATGGTGAAGACAAACGCTATGATGGAAACAGTAATTCCACCTGTCGCAAGAAGGGAAGAAGCACAAGAGAAAGGTTGTTGGAACAAGGGGGTGCAATAAATGCAAGGTAATCATTTGGTCACCAATAAAACAGGGAAAAGGCTAAAGTTTGACAAAGGTTTATGGGATCAAAACTCGACAACAAATCCTTAGGCTATATATAAACAAACTATAAAGCAATTTGTCAAACCGGTAACTCTGCTTCAAAGTGCTTGAAGAAAGAGCTAAATGAGTCATGTAGCAGGTCCAGTATAACCGCCCAAACAGCATACAGTGAACTCACCAATCACGTAAAACATCAGGTCCCTTATCAAGAAGCAGAGCGCCACAGTACAGCCAAATATGAGAGCTCCCTCTGAAAAGACAATTGTACAAATGAATAATTCAAATGAAAACAATACACACTTTATGTTATAAACCAACAGGTTCAAAGGTTTGATTGATATTGTTGAATGATGACATAAGCCAAGGCTAAACAACAGCACCACTGCATTTTAAACGGTGTCCTGTCAAATAAATGAACAGCAAATGACAAGAACAAACAAATGTTACTCTGTACACAGAGATGAGGCAACACTGAACTTCTCTATTGCAACACTTGAGCCACATTCAACAGCTATGACTCTTGTAGAAACAACACTTATCAACAGTACAATCCACCTTATGTTTACGTCTTACATCTAAATGCTTCCTAATACCCTGCAGCTTTGGAAAGCAATTCAAACTAAAAACCTGTCTAAGGCAGCAAATGACCCGTGTCTCACCAATTGTCCACTTCTCATTCAGACGCCTCACAGACAGGCTGTGTACCAGCCGGATCTCGTAGTCCTGGTCACGACTCCCCCTGGAGTTCTGGAGGATCTTGATGCCAGTAGACAGCTTGATGTAGTCCTCGTAGTAGTATCCCCAGGCAGCTAACGAGAGCTGCAGCTGATTGTCGAACTGAGACAGATCATCGAGGTTCATACAACGCAAGGTCTTCAGTCTGCGGTGGGAAACAGAAGTGAAAGTGAATAAAGGAGATAATTGAAAGGAGTGGTAGGATGATTAACCTCTTAAAAAGTACACCCTTTAGAGATATATCCTACTCCGACTGCTCACTCCCCCCGTTGACCAAGTCTGCTGTGCTGACTGCACACAACAGCTTGTCCCACACACAAAACAAACTATAGATTACAACCTGGATCTTATCACCTAACAGGTGAGACAGTGCAGCACATTGTATCCTTCCTTAGCAAAATACTACCGTCGTAAAGCTTTATTACACGAGAAGGTGTAGATAATAAGAACAGCATAGGACAATGAAACATAATCTTCCCGTTGTAAATCTACAAAAAGTACAACCTTGTGTCAATACGTGATAACACCAAGGTGTAATGTGCAAAGTCAAACTTTAGTGACTAAAAACACACTAAAACCCTTTTTTCTCTTTTGAAAACACATTTTCAATCCAGACGCAACAAAATCGTAACTTTGTACAGAAAATGCTAAATGTGTATTTTCTAGCATGCTGTTTTGTCCAGTTCAGTGTGTGAGGCATGGTTGATCATCTACCTTGTGATTGTGATTGTTTAGTTATAATTATAAAAAACAATCTTCTCATTATTTTTTCTTAAAGTAAATACTTGGATCTTTTTTATCCTCTCACTCCTAATTACACAATTTATCTGACATGTCGTGGCTTATGTCAATCCACTACTTCCCCATTTACAGTCAAATATATATTTGTAAAGGGTCACCTTCTGTTACAACACAGTCACTGAACTGAAGCTCTGCCAGAATTACATTACCGAGAAAGGTTCCATTCTATCAAAATGACAAGAGGCAAAAATGGTGTGACGGTCATGACATTCAAAAATGTGACACAGTGTCCCTTTAGAAATACCAAACAGTTTTCTTCTGAAATGAATGAGTAGTTGAGAGACACAGTTGACCTTTGAAACATTAACCTTCCTTAAACGGAGGCCACATTTTGAAAACACAATGACTACTTAGCATAGCCTGTTCTGACTGCATCAATAGAGATTATCCAAGACACACATCACCTGCACTTCTGCAGGTCTTACACAAACAGCCAGTGAAGAGTACTTTTTACTGCAGTGACCCTCTGAAACACTGCAGCCTCCACAGCTCAGCGTCAGCAAAGCTCAGCCAGCCATGAATGGAGAGGCTGCCCTCAAGTGGACAGAAATAGATATGGCCTGTGATAACCGGCATAAAACCTGATCATAACCACATAACCAATTCAAGCCTAAAATATGCCTGGAAAAATCTATACGCATGACATGCCAATAAGTGATTGTTACTGAAAAAGGAAAGCTTCTCACGACTGTTGGCTGGATTAGTGTAAATGTAAAGGTTAAGACCTTTCATTGCTTACGTATGGTAATAGTGCTCCAATTTCTGGGAGCAAAGCCACTCCTGGAAGGCAAAGTCTCGGAGCAGCTGGATGTGGGCCTCCTCAATTTCCCTCCAGCGCTGCTGTTCCTTCACCACCTCTTCCAGACGACTTAGTACACTCAGACTCAGTTCCTCCAGTGACTGTACATCTGGATGACACATGAACAGCACATACAAATACTCAATCACATACCAGCCAACAAATCAGCATCAGTAATGCCCCAGCACAGGCTTAAATACTCTCTCTTAAAGTCTATAATAAAGTGTATTAAAGCCTGAGCTGATTGTCCGTGCATACATGCATCTCGTAAGCCTGACTGTTTAAAACAAAAATGACCAGGGTCAAAGCAATAAGCAACACTATCTCCTTGCGTTAAACATAGTTTAGATCCAGTTAGACATGACACTTATTCATGGTATTCCTGCAAAGCTCTAAAAGCTAATGGTTAGAGAAACTGTTCTAACCAAAGTTTCAAGTATCATAATCTGTCTTGCAGAAGTAACTTTGTGCGGGTTACCTTCAACGTCAGACCATCAAATAAAGGCCTAAACTGTAATGGCCATCTAAATATATCTCAAATGGAGATATGACTGTAAGCAACTGACCTTCAAATAAGTGCCTGTATTGACAGAGGCTATGTCCTTGGAGCCATTCCTCAATTTGACTCTCTTTTCCTTTCTTCCAGCGCACTTCCCAGAAGAAGATCCACGACACTGAGCAGAGGAGGAAGGTCAGGAAGAAGCGGCGGTCCATCAGACCATCTTTGAGCCTTCACTCAGACCCCTCCGTGCTCAAGGGAAAACTGCCACTCACCAGGGGACTTGACAAGTTTCCTACAGTTGGAGAGAAACTGCTTAGGCTCAAAACAGTTAGACTGAAATACATTTACAAAAGGTTTTTAACAATTGGATTTTAAAGAGGAACATTGGTCAAACAGACAGGATGCCTGAGGTGGTTTACAATAAACATGCTCAGCCAAGAAAGCATGAATATTTAAGTGACACCTTGGTGTTGGCTGATGGGAGAATACCATGTAATCCCCAGCACTGAAATATGCATGAACAACTTGGCTAAAGAATGGTCATAAAACTCTCCCCAGCCTCTTTTAGCCCGGACCAACTGTCAACGTCAAAGAAACATTGGCAGTGACAGTCTGACAACAGTCTCAGTCACAACCAACAACAACAGCCAGATGTTGGTGATGGTAACGATGAGCTGCCTGATAGTGATAGCTCAGGTGTCATAACGTTTCCAAATGTCATCCGCTGCCACTGGTATAATAAACAACCACAAAGCGTAATAAATAACCTATCGAAGCGGTCAGTTGTACCGTACAGTTTCTTAAACGTTGCTTAAAAAAGGAAAAAAACACCGGGAGCGGAATACGCACAGGCTAACTGCAATGTAATCAATTGTCTCTGGTCTATTGTCACCTGCAGCGCAAGGTAAAGCTGGAGGCTAATGCTAACAACTGTTAGCACTGTGCCAACAAGCTGCTACAGTAGTTGACTAGAAAACGACAGCGAAATGCTAACTAGCCAAGTTAGCCAACAATGTCAGCGTCATTTCAGAAGCTGCTCGCCAAACCATGGCGGTTATCAAAATGCACACCACAACACGTTCATAAGACATTGTATGCAATAGTACTCTAACACAAACAAAAACGGCTAATGAAAACATTTCATTTGATGTAAATAAAGACAGCCTTTACCTTCGTCTGATGGGCATTAGGCTAGCAACCGGAAAATGCGCAGAAAACGTGTCGATTCCTGATGACGTATATTGTAAACGCATCGACAACACACGAGGGGAAGGGAAGAAGATTTCACTCAGACCTGTGGACTAACATTTTAACCATGGTATGTCATATTTATATGTTATACAGTAACATCAAGACTACTCATAATACTTATCTATCAAATTATGTTATGTGTTATTACTACATTGGCGTCGAAGCTTTTATAGCAGGCAAGCTCCTGAGCTAGTTTAGCTAGCCTAGCCTATCTAACGTAAAGTAGGCTAACACGTACGCCAGCTGCAGAAAGAAATAAGCGTTTAAATATATCATTTACTTTTATCAATGTAAAGATCTTGGCCACAACATTAAATACATGTAAGTGTTAGTTAATTCTCCTAAAACCATGATACGTCTGAGTTAATAGGTTTAGCTAACGCATGCAGTGTTTGTTTTGTTACTTCTTTAGCTCTCGTTATACAAGTCAACGTGCTGTCTAAAAACTGCTTCAGTAATGACATTACAGTTTTAGTTAAGTGTTTATACAAGTAAATGTTACGCTGAGAGACGTTGTTAATATGCTGTTCAAGCAACAAAGTGCCTGTGTTATGAGGTTGACTCAAACCCTCCACATACACAACAAGTCAATTGCTGCTGTAAAAGCTTTATACTGTTGGTTGTAATATCTTGGTTTTAATCCATTTCTGTGTTTGTACTTGTCTAACCTAGGGGAAGCAGAAAACGAAGAAGTTTGCTGTCATGAAACGAATGATCAATCTGAAGGATAATAGAATGTGAGTTTTAATCATTTCTCTGTCTTCTAGCCACAATTAACAAACTTATTGATCATCCATCACAATGTTATTAATACAGCCAAGTTTGCATACCTATTTAGCATTACAAAACATTTAATAATAATGTGTGGATCTTAATAACTTGTTATTTTTTCAGAAAAGAGAAGGACCGGGCTAAACCTCAAGAGAAAAAGAAGAAGGACCCCTCTGCGCTCAAGGAGAGAGAAGTGTGAGTTGGCTATAAAATATTGAATTACTATATGAAGAACTTTTGGTGGATGGCTCCTTAACTTGATTTATTTAAACTTTTTGTGCAGGACAAAGTACCCATCCTGCCTGTTCTTCCAGTACAACACGCAGCTTGGTCCACCATACCACGTTATAGTCGACACCAATTTCATCAATTTTTCCATCAAAGCCAAACTGGACATTGTTCAGTCTATGATGGATTGCCTGTATGCAAAATGTAAGTGCTATTGCCAAGTGCATAATGGACCCGTTCCTCCAACAAATTCTTATATACAGTACAATGATTCAAAAACTTTCCTAATCATTCTTTTCCCCTCTGCAATTTTATCCAATCCAGGTATCCCATGTATCACAGACTGTGTGATGGCAGAGATTGAAAAGCTTGGAATGAAGTACAGAGTCGCACTCAGGTACAAGCTGCTAAATATAAAACTGCATGAACGGCTTGAACTTATTTTGTTTATTAATTTGTTAATGTTTTGCTTTGCAGGATAGCCAAAGATCAGAGGTTTGAGCGCCTGCCGTGCACACACAAGGGAACATACGCCGATGACTGTTTGGTCCAAAGGGTAACACAGGTAATATGCTTTCATTTTCACTTCATTTCGTGGCATATCATTATAGTGAATAATTATAGGTAATTTTTCGCATTTCATTTTTCTGAAGTTTTTGGCACAGGTAAATAACATTTATAAATGTCCACAGCACAAGTGTTACATCCTGGCGACTGTGGACAGAGATCTTAAGAGAAGAGTCAGGAAGATCCCTGGGGTGCCCATCATGTACATCTCAAACCACAGGTAACACCATTTTGACTGAAATATACGTCTGTTTTTTTGCATAAAATGTGAAAAAACATTTATGGACATGTTTCTTTCTTTCTTTTCATACAGGTTCAATATTGAACGGATGCCTGATGACTACGGTGCTCCAAGGTCTTAATTTTCTACAGCTGGGATGGACCTGTAAATAGACCACTTTTCTGTTTTTAAATGATTTTCCTTTCATGTATATTTTGTAGTTTGTTTGGTTTGGTGTGGGGTGGGTTTGATCTAAACTGCAAGTTACTTTACATTTGGTTGTTCATATGAAACATTTTGTCAAGAAAATAAATGAAATGTTGCAATGCTCCATGTCTTTGGTCTCCAGTCTTTTTCAACACCCCTAATGTGTTGCGGAAATGTTGCTTTATTAGCAAAGATGCTAATTTACTATGGGAAAGATAACCTTGATCAATTCCATATATAGTTTCACACATTCTCTTTTGATGTTTTAAGGTCTTTATTATTTAAAAAATGTTATGGTGGAAATGTGTTTTATTGTTTTATTTTATTTTTCCTTCAACAATGTTAATAAAGATGTATACTAGCAAACCGGGAAAAGGGCAATATAAATGTTTCACTACTACAACTAATAACATCACAAAATAAATCAGCAAACATATCCAGGGTTTGGCTGATATCTCATTTTTAAAATCTTTTATATTTTATCTTAAAACATTTTTTTATTTACTTTCCTTCATCCTTCCACCACATCATAATATAGTGTCAAGATTAATAAAATGAAAACACTCAAATTGTGTTTTTTTATTATTATCACCAAGCAGTAGAATAAATGACTGCAGATCTAACTTCTTGATCGGAGGAGCACTTGAATGCAGCATTTGTCACGGTTGAGATCCGCTCAGTCTTGCGCATGCGCGGTAGACGGAGATCTGGGAGTGTCTGAGCTGCTCGTTGGACGTGAATCCCACTCCCAGCCGCTGAACCCAGAAGCATCTGTATGAACAATGAACCGGCTGACTGAAGGAAATGGTTTGGTGAAGAAACGATGAAGAGGACGCGTGAGGAGTGTCGAGGTGATGGGATTGCAAAACGGCACTGATTTTTCTGGATATTTGTGGTGTGAATGACCTCTAACGGTGCAGGGAATTAGCCGTTTCTAATACTTTGTTGTCTGCGGATCAATCCTCCTAAAGACTGTGATAGCGGTACATTGGCCGGCTAGTGTTGGCTTATTGAACTTTCACCCTATTGTAATTAAAACACGTCTTAAGGCTTTATTACCTAAGTGTCATAGTTTATTTATTAACATGGACATATGATTATTAAATGGCCTACAGGGTTCTAGATTTTCCCAGAGTCATTTTTTTATTGCAAGAAGATTAATTTTGTTATACTTTGAAATCATCATTTAGGTCTTCAACTAAAGGGGTGCATTTTTATTAAACCTTCTCCACATTGCATAGACTTATTATTTTTATATATTTTTTGGCACATGCTGCTTGATGTCATGAGTTGGCCATCTGTTGTGGGAACCTACTTAAACCTGCAACAAGCAGATTAACCAGTGAAAGGTCCAGTATGGAGGCTTCTGTGCCTGAACTCAGTTGGGTTCCTGCTGCTGGAGGAGGAGGAAGAGGAGGAGGAGGAAGGATGCTGAGGGCCACCGCAGGCTCCGTGGAGCAGAGGGATGAGGAGCAGGAGGATGAAGCCGAAGAGGAGTTAAGGGATGGAGGGGTGCCTTTCTATGTGAACAGAGGAGGCCTCCCGGTGGATGAGGAGACTTGGGAGAGGATGTGGCGCCATGTGGCTCGAATACACCCCAACGGTGAAGCTCTGGGGAAGGAGACCCGGGGGGGCCACTGACCTGCCCAAGGTAAGGTTGCAGCTGTTGAACTCCACATGTGAAACGTACACATGGTGGAGAAACTATTAACACCCATGTGATCTGAGGAAATGTTGAGCTACAGTGTTACTACCACATGACTGATAGATACATTTAACTAATGTCTTTTTTTATCACAGCAGTAAAACACAATGCATGTTTTGTCCAGTCCACTCTGCATGGTACCATTGCATGCTATGGATGTTTTAGACACAGAAGAATGGTACATTTCATTCATTTCTCGTGCTTAGAGCAATTAAGAAGCTCTTGCAACCGGCAGGCTGAATAGGGAAAAGCACACAAGACTACTTTGTTTGTTCAATGGTCATCAAGTTGTTGGGATGCTCTCTGTCCTACAGATTCCAATACCGAGTGTGCCTACATTTCAACCTACCACCACTATCCCACAGCGCTTGGAAGCCATACAGAAATACATCAGGGAATTGCAGTATCCTTTGACTACCTTGGTGTATTTGAATGTTTCCACAGCATTTCATTTGTAGTTAAAATATATTTTGATCTATCTTGACTTTTTAAAATCCTATCCAACCCTCTATTTTTACTACCCTTTACATTTGGAAGTAGGCAAGCATTGTGGAAACTCTACTCTATATTAAGCTTTATTTCAGTCAGAGACGTAATTCATCCATATTTAAACAACAACCTATGAATATCACAAAGCACTATAACTGGTTGTCTCTTCTCCCTGATGCATGCTGCTGTTTGCTCTGTTGTTATACAGTATGACCTTAACTGTCCTACAGGTACAATCACACAGGAACACAGTTTTTTGAAATTAAGAAGAGCCGGCCTCTTACTGCGTAAGCACCTTTTTCTGTCTTTCACCGAAGACTAATCACTAGTAATGGACTCATGGCAGCACTCATAGGATGTCTGCAACAATATTAGCTGATTTATTATGGTTTTGGCCAGTGCTGCTAATGTCTGATGCGTGTGGATCAGCTGTATCTCCTCAGGGCTTTGTGAGTTGAAACGTCAAGCAGCAGAAGGCCTGGAACACAATTTCCCTGACCTTGCTTTATTAGATTTCGTGGTCCAAATCATATTTCCATGGCTCATGGAAAATGTGTTTGTTCAATAACTGTGTGTGCATTTCTATTGCACTCAGTAGTGTCTTATATCACAGATGAGCATTAACAGTGTTTCTCTCCTGTTCCATTGTCCTGCACAGGTTGATGGACATTGCTAAAGAGATGACGCGGGAGGCTCTGCCAATCAAATGCCTGGAGGCGGTGATCCTGGGGATGTATCTTTAGAGAATCAGGGCATGTTGCAAATTGTATTATTGTATGTTTCATTGTAATGT